CAATCCAGCAGAAACACAAGAATATGATGCAGTACAGAACTTTAAAAAATTAGAAAAACTTTTCAAACTTGCTTTTGTTTGTTTTGATCAATCAACTCTTGAAGAAGAATATAAAGAAGATTTGAAAAAACTCTTGATCATATTAAAAATTTTTTTCGAGAAAAAACTTGTAATTATGAAAATAGTATTTATACAGCATTATACTCTGAAAAAGAAGTTGAAAAAATAGTAAAAAAGATAAGAATGTGAATATTAAAAAGAAAAATAAAATGGATGAGGATGAAGAATTATAAATTTATAATTTTATTTTAATTTTTTTTATATTTTTGTTTAAACATTTCTTGCTTTTTATATGTAAAACCTATATTATTTAAATATTCTTTTATATTTTTATATTCACATTTAAAACATATTAATAAATCATACATATATTTTGATTTCGAATAAATAAATGCTTTAGTCAAACCACAATTTTCCATATCTTGTGTTAAATTTCGTTCAATAGTCCCATCAATATCATCACATTTTAAATTTGGAAATGATTTCGCATACTCTAATATAATAATCTTTTCAGGAACATCACATAACAACATGATTAATATACAAATAATACCAGTACAATTTTTACTGTGTTTACAATTAATAATCACTGAATATCTAGTCACATCAACATTTAATAAATATTCAAATACTAATAAAATTTCTCTTTGACACCCGTCTAAAAATGACATATACATTTGTACAATTCCTTTTAACCCAATTGATTTGGTTAAAAAATATTTCTTTTCGAAAAAACTCAAGTAATATTTTACTTTTTCTTCCTTAGTTAGAATTTTAAAAATACGCATCGTACAATGATTCATTTAACATATTGATAAAATAAATATCATTAAATAATTTACATAATCCACAAAAATTTTTCTTTACAGAACTTCCACGCAAATCAATAACCGATTAATTTCTCTAATGTTGATAATTCTTGTTTACTAATTTTATCAAATTCATTTGATCGGAAAATATTTTTAACACCAGAAACATCGCGTAAATTATTTAACATTTTTTCTGATCTTAATGTAAAATTCGTGTTATTTATATGTTTTAATTATTAATATCTTTTAATAAATACAAATGGTTGAAAAAAAACAAAATTAAAAAAAATGGCAAAATATACTAAAATTTCTTGCAAAAGATGTTCAATTATTAAGAAAAAATGTGTAAAAAAAATAATTACAAATGTGAATCAAATATTCATAAAAAAAGAGGTCCAAAACCATCTATTGAAAAAATTGATAAAATGGATATCACATATTTACTCAATTAATAACTCTTCTTATGACATTTCCAAACATATCTACAACTCGTAATCTTCCTTGCCACCTATTTTGATTATCATCTAAATTTATCTGTTGCGCATCTAATTAATTATCAATTACTTTTCTATCCCTATCTAACTGTGGAATATTATGTAAATCTCTCTGTTTCGCTGCTGCTATTCTTTCTTGTCTTCTCTGTACTGCTAATTCCATACGTTCTTTTCCACGTCTCTCAATATTCAATCTACGATTTTGTCTTTCTGTATCATATTGTAATACTTGATTTCTATTTACTCGAACATATGGTAAAATTAAATTTAAACCACATATAACACAATGTGTATCAACACCGTCTCTATCATACCATCTAATTGTACAATGCATATGAGCCATATGTCTTTGATTATTACAAAGCCTCACTACTTCTGGATTACCATTCATAGCTTCTCTTAAAGGTGTGTTACAAATAGAACATCTTGTAAAATCTTGCGGATCCATATTTCTATCTTCATTTTGTTGTAGTGGTGGTGGCTGCTTTACTACAACTATTTGTTGTACATTATCAATCACATCCACATCCTCCCTTATTTGTGGAATATTATCCATATCTCTTTGTCTTTCTTCCATTCGTATCCTAGCTCGTTCCAAATTCAATCTCTGATCTCGATTTCGTCTCATTATTTGTAATATATGATCTCCTCCTACTTAACGACGTAAAAGAGGTTCAAAACACACTATACAAGTTTGTGCAATACAAGGTCTGTCATACCATCCAATTGCACAATCTTCATGTATATAATGAGGCACATGTCGATTATTACATAATTGTATAACATTTCCACCTTGATGTAACGATATATGACAAATAGGACAATCTAAAACATCTTGTTGATCGAATTCTTCTTCTTCTTCAATAATTATTTGTTCTTCTGGTAGTTCATTTACTTGAATTTCTCTATAACTTTGTAAAGCTATCGCGTCCGGTCTCAATATATTTTCTGGTACTACATTTCTCCATAATTCATCAGGCTGTAATGGTACACGACATATAGGACAAGT